CTACCTACAACTCGGGGGAGAATGGTGGGGAGGTGGAAATCCCACCCACGACAGTTTGCCAGCCCCGTAATCTGAAGCGCGTTTTCGTTTGCGTCCCATCTCACGGCATGCAACACATGGACTTGAAATATTGCCAATTTTTGGAGCAATTGGGCATCCCCTTCTCCGTCGTGCTCTGCAAGACGGATGCCGCACCCATTCGGTTTCTCGCCCGGCTGGCGGATTATACTCGCTGCCAGCTCGTGCACTTTAACCACTGCAAAGAATTGATGCTGACAAGCTCCTTACGCTTAGCGGGAATCGATAAAATGCAAGATCTTATTGCAAGTATGGGCATTACTAAAGGAAAATCGAGTGATGCAACGATTGATTTCTCAACAATTGTATAAAAGTCAAAAACTATGCATTTATGACAACTACCACACAATAAATAAAAATTGTCAATGCCAAGTGAATGGTTTCAAATTTATTGAATATTACTTAGGAGAGTTAGCTACATACGCAATAACCTCTTTACTAAAGGACTATATTGTAATAAATGGATTTTTTTATTCCTTTTTCTTTTCAACATATACATTCCTTTTAGACATCTTAATTATCTTGTTAGACTGTTTTGGAAATTTCAATCATTCATCGATAGTTAGTTAAACTTCAAAACAAACCATAATTTTATGGTTTTTGGAATTTTCATATTTAGTATTAAACTCTATAATTTTTATTTAAAGAATTATAGTATTTATAATTTCCACTGATATTTTTTTCTAAACCACTTCAACAAACGCACATCTATCGAATATTTAAATTCATAAGCGTACACAAGCTTACAAGCTTATAATAGTGTACAAAAAAAACTCAATTTATAAATAAACAAATATATTTATTTATTTATTTAAAAATCAAAGGAAAAAATTGAAATAGTTGTCTAGTTATATACGCCACGCGCTTTTTCTTATTTATTCACATACACGCAGTTCCTAGACACGGTGAAGCTTTTTGTGCATCACTGAAAGAGGGCTACCACTCTTGCCATTCATAATCTGAATAGGTGAACAAGGGGTGCAGCAAACTGCACTCTTAGATAGTAAGACGAGGTGTATTCCTAAGAAGATAGTGATCATATTAATCAAGTAATTATATCGATATATTTATATCAAATAGGTTGGGATTATCTTTTTTCTTGGACAGAGCAATCTCCTTTTACGTAACCCTGCGTATATTTCATCCGTTTCATTACTAAATCTATCAAGAGGCTAGATTTTATTGCTACAAATTCAAGAGAAGAAACAGAGGAATTATTCGCAACAAAGTCCGTAAAAGGGAATTTGGTACATAGCATATTACTATTTTTTTCTTCCCTGTCTGTTCTTGAACTCTATAAGAGAAGGTTTTTGATTATTTTTTCCCTTTCTTTTGGCTATTAATCCTTTCTTATTCAGTTTCACGTTCTCTTTGCGTTGCTTTAAATTTTATCTAATATCTTTCACGGACTTCTTATTTTAATTTTATTTCCTTTTTTTTTAAATATTTATATCGTAGGATTTATCCAATTTATTTTTATTTAACAACGTTTCTAACACTGTTGCTATTTTTCGCTTTATTTCTTGCACATTTTACTTATTTTGAAGGGCATCAAATAACTTTTCATAACCTTTCTCGCTTTTTAAAGCGACATCATCCTTAGAAGTTTTTCGTACTCTTTTTATTTATTCTTACTTTTCTTCTGTCTGCTTCAGGGGTGCGTAAAATAACTTACGTTCGAAGAAAGAGGCCATTTGAATAAAGGATCCATCGGAATACACAGTAAGAAAACAAAGGGTAGAAAAGCGATATTATCTTACATTATATATATATTACTATTTTTATTTTTGCTAATTTTAAATCGCCCACTTTATTTATATAAAGACAGATTAGTAAATATATATATTTGTATATTATATATATATATTCTCCTCACCAGAAAGCAGGAGCTATACTATAACTAAAATATTGAAGTGCTCTCCCAGCGTGAGGGAAGCGTACATTGTTACTAACACCTAGTTTTTTCTACTTATTACCATACCGTTTGGTGAGCAACACCAACTTGGAACAGCACTCACGAACCCATAAAATATCTACACGGCCCGTATGGGACGGCGCAACAGAAGTCAGACCATAATGCCGCGCACTATCGAAGAGCTCGCCAACAACAACAACTTTTCCGATGACCGGAGAAACGTGAAAGTCACTTCTTCATTGGGCTTCCTATCCCCAATGACAACCGTGCCCTCCTCCAACGCGTTGGGGACGCCCTTTGAAACCTCACTGAATCCCCCTTCCACGGAGCCCTTCAGCCCTCACCTCCGCTTTGTTGCAAAGGCCACTAAGAAGGCGAGTGTGCCAGGGCTCCGCCTGCGCAACGTTTACATCTCTGGCCTGCCCGTGTGTTACCACTCCAGCGACTTCCGCGCGCTCTGCCAGCGGTTTGGTCTCGTAGAGGCCTCG